GCGACAACATGCACGCCTCATCGGTCGCCCTCTCGGCCAGTCCTCCGGGGCGTCTAGCGCCTACAGGAGGACGCTCCTTTTCGCAAATACACACATTCTGATCGACTTGACACGGCAACCTATATCATACCTCCTTCGTGAACACTGTCCTAGTGACAACCAAGTGAAGACCGCCTGAGAAAGAGTTACACACTCGCCTTACGTGTGAACATGTTTATATACCTGATGGTGTGTGTGTGTGTGTGAGAGAGAGAGAATATTCACTTAATTCGACTTGTGTCTCAACTGGTGTGACGTACAGTGTGTCTACCGATGTGTGTGTGTGTGTGGACTGAGGCTGGGTTAGCAGACTGCTCATCTGATGGCCTTCCCAGGTGAAGAAAGGATGGCCAGACAACCCTGGCCGACCACCAGAGTCGGCCCGGTTACGGACTCGTGGCGCCCAGGCCCAGGTCACACTTGTGGTGCCCCCGTGCCTCAGCCGGAACGGGTGGTTGTCGGAGTGAGCGTCCGACGGAGACCGTATGAGTTCACCTCTAAATGCGTAACAGATGAAGATCCTTTCGGCGAAGAGGTGGTGACCCTCGAGTGCGCATGAGTCCGGCCTGGAGACGGCCGGATCAGTTGCCGTCCCCGGGACTGATGAGATGTCGCCGAGGTGAGTGGAACTGCGAGACGGTGAAGGGGAATTTCCGACACGATTGCCCTCCTCAATCGGTTGTCCTGCCAGTGGGGCAGGCACGCCGATTTGTGCTAATCACAAAAATGCCGCACAAAGTCCCCCAAACGGGCTGAGCCATGGCAACCAGAATGGTCCGATCACGCATCTGCTCTGACCACCCAACAGGCCTACAGACAAAACTGCCGGCCAGGCTGACCGCGGCCAGGGCAGGCTGGCAGTGATACAATTTGCAATTACCGGCTCATACGGAACTTTGTTACATGCACTTCTTCAATTCCAGCGCGTTTCCGACCAGAACAATTAATTACAAATGCAAAAAAAAAATGCGATTTCCCCTCACAGACGCCATAAGAACAACTGCTTCACAGGGCTGCTCTTCGGCCCATTTGCAGTCCATCGCAGTTGGGCAAACTAATAATCATAATAATGACAAAAATAGTAGTAGTAGTAGTAGTAGTAGTAGTAGCTCATGTACACTGTACAACTGGTACACGAATTCA